CATTCCCTATAAATGCCGTACACCATAATGGCAATTTGTTGTAACGTTTGACTGCTACATGAGAGGTGTAAATGAGATGAATTAAGACCAGAAGCAGGGTTGTACTGTTTCCCAAAGGTGCCCAAATGAAATTGGCCAATGGTTGGTAAGCAAGTGGGCAGGGCTCAGCAACCACTATTGTCAGCAGACCAGTGGTGGCACAAAGTGGGGCTCTGATTGGGAGCCAGTTTCGCTGGTTATTAGTTGACCGCAGACCTTCAGCCAACAGTTGGAAAATCATAGGAAAAATGTCGGCACCCAATGGGTGACCAAACGTGGTCCGTTGTAGGGCCACGCTTTGCTGCTTACCACAATGGCCAGTTATACATAGTGTTCATGTGATGTTACTTCCGCCGTTATCGCCCTCTCCTGCCATGCCCGGGTACCTTCCGGGGTGCTTACAGCAGTTCACGTGCTGCAGCGCGGTTTGTTGGGGCCTCGTCATCTGTTGCTGTGTACGATATTGAAAGGAAAGCAGTGTGGTTTCTGTTGTAGTAGTTTAATGAGCTTAGCCATCAGATCACGAAGGCCTCGTTTGTCACTCGATAGAAGACCAGAAAATCAATGTGCGACACGTATCCAGCCACCGCGTATACCAGTTGCCTGCCACGACCAACGAGTGCCCTTTATCTCGCTTTCACTACAAATTGCGTGGCCCAAGAACAAGTGAAAGCCCAAAGTCTCTCGAGCCGCAATTTTAAGAGTGGATGAGCGAAGCCCAGCAGCTCTTATAGAAAACGGGTCATGCCGAGCTAGGCAAGTTTACAAGAGATATATTTATAGCAATATATTGGTGCTGCCCATGCCACCAAATAGCAGCCCCCCCCCCCCCCCCCCCCAGGTGGTCTAAACAGTGCTGATGTTGAGCTTCTTTGAAATTTGTGGAAACAACCGAGAAAAATATCATGCGAGGCTGATAGAGACTTCGCGTGGTGGGTGCCGCGGTAATGCCTGTCATCACTCATTTTTTTTCGCGTATGTTTTGACACCTTTTTTACCTTGTACTTTACTTTTTTATAACGCTAATATACAGTGGAGTCCATGAAAATGACAGAGACCACGTTAGAGAATTAACCAATTTTTCAAAATCCTAACCCCCCAACTTGAACCGATCGGCTATACTTCAAAGCGAACTAATATTGTTTCGCATCCATGTTCACAGTTTGTTTCAATGCAATACCAGAAGTTCCGCGAAGTTTGCGATTTTAACCGCCCTCTTGACACTAATTGTGCACGTAGTGGTCGCGGACAAGTTTGTACGTACAGTATCTTGGTAAGCTATCTCTGTTTGCAGGTAAGTGCTTGGCTATGGCACTTACCCGGAATGAAGTTACACATGAAGACGCAAATATCACCTGGTTTCTTCAAGTAGTTTTTTTCGTTAGTCCGCGCAAGCCAAACACGCTGGTACTTTTCGGAAAATAGCAATGTGCGTTCTGAATTTCAAGTAATAACTTTCGGCGAAGAAACACCCCGAAGCTCTGCTCCCTCGTCGGGGACTACTAACTCAACTTGCCTCACTAGCAGCCCCCAAACTTGCACCGTGAGGCAAAACTAAATGGTCGCAAGCACGAGGAGACGACACTGCAGCGATAGGCGACGGAGTCGGTAGGTACCCGGGCATGTCGGTGGCGCATTTCGAAAGTGACTAAGGGGCGCTGCGTGAAGCACATGCATACCTATGTATATGGGCCAGCCACAAGGTTGTATGATGTATGTGGGCGCGTTTTTTTTTTCTTACACTGTGCGTATTATTCCTTGGTCAGCGAAAATTTCTTGTCGGAGGGTTCAGCGTTGGCTGTCACTAGATTTGCAAAAGATTGTGTATCCCATCTGTGCGCCACTTTCCATCTACAAGGCAGGCCTACAGCTTTGAGTCTGTGCTGGCAACCAGAGGTTGGCCGGCGTGAGGCCATTAACCAAAATCACCCTCGACCCAGCCTTATGATCAAGCTTAGGACACGACTGGCTAGGTCGACCATGAATGTTGGGCCAGCATAGAGCCGAGGTATCTTTTTTTCTTTCGGTGTGGTGGTCACAAACCTGTGCGACCGCACAAGAGCAGTCCGAGAAGTGGAGCACATGGCTTATGTGAGCTTACATGCTTATGTGGGCATCACTAGGGAAAAATACAGCGAATTAGTTGCCAAATCTTGCACAAAATTGTTTTACCCGTTACATGCGACAGCACGGACTTACAGAGCAGGCGTGGAAGGTCAGAGTTCCCCACTCAACACTGTGTCGCTACTGCACAATGTCCTGAACGGTTCTCCTTTCTCATAAGCGCAAGGCAAATAATCAAAACACGTGCACTACTCCAAACGTAGACGTTGCACTGTCACCGAGACATGTGATCCGTGGGATGGGTATTGGCGGACGACAAACTGGAACTGACGTCACTTGTACGTTATGTATCCTATGAAGACTAATATTTGTTGTCATTCACCACACCTTGCACTATTTGTCAACCATGCACTTTAAACATTGTGCCCATAAAAACTTGAAGTAAAATGCTTCACAAAAATTTTTAAGTAGGGTGAAAATCAGCAGTGATTACATGCCTCCTTTGCCTGCATCACAAGCATGCATTAACTGCTATCGAAATGGGGATAATTAAGTCTGCAAACTTTCTGGAATAACGTGAAAATGTCAACCAGAGTGCGAGAGCACGCCCTTGTTTGTTGATGCCATAGCTGTAGGGTATACCTACTGAGCAAATACATTAACAGTGAAATTGTTTTCATTACCTACATTCTTACACCCACCACTGGACCAGCTGGTTAGTCGTGTATTATGTAAATTACGTCGCACTGCATGTCAAAAACATCACCATTTTTTCAGCATAACCCGCAGTGGTTAAGCATTCTATGCACCGGCCCCATCATACTTCACAGCCTAGTTGATTGATTGATATGTGGGGCTTTACAAACCACCATATGATTATGAGAGATGCCGTAGTGGAGGGCTCCGGAAATTTTGACCACCTGGGGTTTTTTAACGTGCACTCAAATCTGAGCACACGGGCTTACAACATTTTCGCCTCCACCAGAAATGCAGTCACCACAGCCTGGATTCGATCCCACGACCTGCAAGTCAGCAGCCGAGTACCTTAGCCATTAGACCAGCGGGGCGGGGCTCACAGCCTAGTTGTTTTATACTGGATTCTAGACTTGCTGCGTAACAATGTAAACCGGACACTATCTTGACTCTCTTTTGCCTTTTTTCTGCTTGCGCAGAGAGTAGATTTTAAGGCTGTGCGGCAAGGTTCTGTTTGGCGTTGCTAAGTCAGTAGCCAGACTGCCACTAAATCTTGTGGCTATGTTTGCTTGTACAGTTGAAGCATCCGTGTAATGTTTTCCCATTAGCTCTCGCTCTTGTTCAAGTGTATGCGGTGTGCCCGTGTCACTGGGGCGCCAGCAACCTATGTGCCGCTTCGGGGTTCTCAGTGTTCTGCCAGTGTCTGTGAGGAGCATGAGGTGCCCGAGTCACTGGGCAGCCTGAAGGGCATGCACAGCTACGGAGGTATTCATACTTCGGGGAAAACGATGTGTGCTGCCCAGGCTGTGTGCGAACTTTTGCGACGCCGTTCAGTTCCCCCAGTAAATCCGTCCTAGCGCGTGGGTTACCTACCCCAAGCCCGAACTCGCAAATTTCCTGCTTCCGAGGCACGATCGAGTCCGATCTGTCAATATCAGAATGGAACATACAGCGAAAAAAGGGGCCTTACACTTCTGCAACACTCATGGGCTAAAACGACCGTGTCAACAGACTGCACCGGGCACAACAGATTGCACAACCTACCATACGGGAAAGCCGCAAGTGCCGGGGCAAACACCCCGTAAGTCTGGCAACTGATTTATGCAACGCCAAACAGAAACTTGCCCGCAAAGGGCAAGCATAAGGAACGACACTAGGTCCTCACCTCCACCGCGAACACGGGGAATACGAGCCACAGCACGGCCCGTGCCCCAAGACTCGGCCGAGGTCTGGTGTCCAGCCTCTTTGGAGACTGCGTACGGCTGGCGGCTGTTCTTCGCCATGTTCATGTGAACGAAGTTCACGATGTCCGGCCGAATGGGCGCCTTGAAGACGGCCGGCAGCGCAACGGTGGCGCCGGACAGGTCGTTCTTCTCATTGTAAACGTTTACCAAAGGTCGCGCTAAGGTGTAAGCCTGCACAGAGAGAGCACAACTTGCAACCACTATAGCTCGACAAGCACGCGTCATCTCCACCGACGCTAGATCACACTTCGGTGCAAAGCGACCAGTGCATGCGAATTGCAACAGCAGCACCAGGCCACGAGGTAACGTTGCAGCACACACTCTCAAACATTAGCACACACAAATCAAGGGCCGCTGTTGAATACCACGTGGCGGCCATTGCAGAGGAAGACAGCGGCATGACAGAACTTCAGACACGCCATAATTATTGGCTGATTGAAGCACCACATTGATAAGAGACAGTGCTCGAGTACCATGCTATGACGAAGCACACAGAGCCCCGGGATGCCCTTTTCAGCGATTTACCTCGCCGAGATAAAAATTAGGCCTACTACTGCCGGCTTCCCACCTAGCGAAGCATCTCGCACACAAATCGAACGTAAGATTGCACTCTTTCTGCGTAACCTTGGAGAGCGACATACAATGCGCCAACGGTACAACGCTTGACGCGGAGACAAATAACTTACCATTTTTTAAACGCGATTATGTCACGGAGACTACCTATCGCCTGCACTTATGTCGACGACGGAGCCGAAAAAGGGCGAATGAATACAAGTTTAGGAGCGGAACCGCTCATACCGGAAGTTGTTTCCTGCCACAGCAAAAAGAAAGTGTTTAGTAAAAAAGTTTTCATTTTTGCTACGTAGCAAAAAAAAACACACTTGTTTCAACACTTATTCAATATCAAGTCAGTAATGGTACAGTGGCTAGATTGGGGCAAAATATAGTTTACAACCAGGTTTACAACAAATGTAATGATGATGGTAGTAGTAGTTTCTAGCGTTTGCTGCGCTATCTCTCGTAAACAACTGAAGACACCAACACTGCGTTGCAGGAAAGACGGCTTTTGCGTGATTATCAACACTTAGACATGGTGAGTAGCTATGCAACTAAGACGTTTTGTCGATTTGCTGCCCTATTTTTGCACAACAGCACATCACAGTTCGATGTTATGCTTTTCAACAGGCCGGAGAGGGTGAACTAAGCGACGGTCACCACGACATAATAGTGCGCTACTTGAAGTTCTCGAAGTCGCAGCGAGCCCAGCGCCTGAAAGTGATCGACAAAAGTTTCGACGACGTCAAACATGCGAGGTAGGCTTCTCTGTTAGTTCACTTACGGCGCGAAACTGCTCATGGGTCCCGGTTTGAAAACGAAGCGTGTGTCTCCTCTGCAGGCTCCTGGAGGAAACGTACACGTCCGAGGAAGTTCAACAGATCCTCGACGATCTGTGCGCCGTGGTGCGAGCCGAGGTCGAGAGCGAGCTCATCAACGTGTCTCACGCGAACGTAGTTCTCCTGAGACAGCTTTGCAAGCAAGCCGAACAGTGGCACCTTCAGCTGCAGGCAGATATATCCGAACTTGAAGATGGGTAAGCGCCTACGTGGCGACCGCTGCGTCCTAATTAGTTTCGGTATCTGAGAACACGTTGCATTCCCGAGCGGCGAAAAAGGCAAATCTAGCGTTGCTCACACGTGACACCGCAGCCCGGGTGTCCGCAGTACAGGCTGTAGAAATACTTCGTGTATCGTCGATCGCCACTGCAAGCATCTACAGCGAATAGTGCCTCCCTGAAAGACAACTCGATTTACTTCAGCGGTTGTGTAGCCAGTACGGCTCGGTCGTGCACCACTTCCCTTTCCCGCATGCAATGCGATAAGTTTTCACCGAAAAGATGTCAAATGGTGTCCATAGCTACTGACGTGCGACCGTGAGGCCGCCACACTTTAGAGTAGTATTAAGAGGAACGGGGTAGCTGCCACTTCCTTGTTATCTCTAAAATGTCTCAACAACATTGAGCTTTTTTATTTGTTTCGTGCTGCAAGGTCACCCTGCAAATATCAGAAAAGTCATGATGAGATTAGTAAACAAGGCTTACTCCAAGCACTTCTCCAAGATTTGTTAGTGAAGAAGGTGACATAATTCCAAGCTAATAAGTACGACAGAAGGTGAATAGTATTTTGAGAGGCTCATTTCTTTGCTGAATTCATTTAAACCAACAGACAATCCAGCCAAGCAAAGCATAGGTGATACTATTGTTTCTTTTTTAAACAGTATATAGTGTAAACATTTTGACATAAGCTGAAAGGAACTAAATTGGTCAAAAAATTGGGCTTTCCGTCGGTGAGATTACTAGCCAGCCAACCATGTTATGTCTAGTACACATCAAATCAATATCAATCATATGATATAGAGTTTCTCAGAATTTGTGACAAACTCTATGCTGGTGGCGTGGCCATAGAGTAGGCGCGTCAATGTGAAGTAATTCCCCATATTTGTTTGAGAGACGGCGTGGCATTTGCTGTGGTAGTGCATTTATATATCGAGCCCTGAATGAGCCATTACATCCTGTGAGTGGCCCAAGTGCGTTCAGCTCAGTGCAGCAGAATTGTTTTTCTGATTTTCTACTCGAGATATCAGTGACATGGTGTAGGCTGCGTTTTACGAGTGATTTGCCACAACGGTCAAGCTTTACAACATATTCTGGTTGGGGTGTGACATGTAAAAATTGTTGTTGAAAATGCAGTCTCTTTTTGAAATCAATTTTAGGGATGCATACATATAATCAGTCCAGTTCATTACAGCTGCTAATCTGAAATTTGATTGCACAACTTGCATGCAATCCTACAATGTTGCTGTGGCTGAAGTGCGGGTGAATAAAAAAACCATGTGGGACATCCCCCGCTATGCCACCGATTACCAAAGAGAGGGAAGACCACTCAAACCCTTGTCTATCCAGTTCCCTCTTGGCTGCGTCTCTCAATCACTTTCCACATACAGGGATTCGTGCTGGGGCCGGGAAGTAAGAGACGCTATGACCTGTTTCTGTGTACTGATTCATTTAATTTAATACTAACTGCAAACATCGTAGACCCGCGTACATCGACCACTACACAAAATTATAACACAAGATTTACACACTCGCGACGTGCGACGCAGGATACATAAGGGAAATAACTTTGACAATAGAATGGTGTGACGATACAAAGTGAACACAGGTCGACATAAATGATAAAATCATTAATTAATAAAACCGTGCACTGTCTCAATATGCCGCATCCCTTCGCGCAAAGCTCGTTTAAGTAAAGCAGGTGAAGTTCATCTCACGAATGGTCCATGTGGTCAGTCTTCATCGTCTTCGTTGTCTCTCTCGGCGATTTCCATCTTAATCTTCTTTCATAACATCCCGCAATCACTCGTTTCCTCATTTCTTATCTCTAACTTTCATTCCTCGTCGTATCATCTCTGCCTCAGTCATCATCCCATCGACTCTCATTGCAATCTCTTCACACCGTTATCTTCCTTTTCCATTCCATCTCTCTACCGTCTCGAGCTCATCGCATCGTATCTCCGACTCTCTTCGCATCGTATCTCTCTGACCCCTTCGTATCGTCTCGTAGTCCCTTTTTGTAGGACCCGACTCCGCCCTACCGGGGCACCAAACAAGTCGCCACTCCATGCGGCATATCTTTTCTTCTCTGTCCGAGTGTATCATCTTCGGCGGCCGCCCCCGCTGCCTACACCAGTAGAAAACCCTCTCCCAAACAAAGCCGAGCAAGTAACCATGTACAAACTCAAGCCTCAGGGAGAGTGATGGGCGAGCCGTCCGAAGACACTCTAATTACGGGCGAACAATGGTCCCGATGCTTCGGGTACTTGGTGAGCCGATGTCCAGACCAAGCCTCAACGTTTCCATGCAGCTCGGTGTCTCCCGCGAAATTCTCCGTAGCCGCCGCTTCTTCGTCATTCACTGCCAGGGGTGGCCATCTGCGCAGAACGCAGTAATGAGTCCTGGAGCCACGGAGGCTGACAGAAGTCAGACCGGACCCGGCACAGGCGCTGCGGCAAAGGTCGCATTCCCCGAACCAACAAAAGGTGCTCTGGTGCTCCCCCATGCCACAAATATGAAGGGTGCGCGCCGATTATCTCCACCGTACACTGTCACGCGGTCTGTAGACGACAAGGCGCCGCCCGGTCCTCGTGTTTGCGCGGGAGAGCCTGTGAGAATAGTAGAAATAATCTTTCTGGTACTTCACTCCGGAATGCCCATTCGTATCACCGAAGGTTTTCTTTTCCTTTTTTTTATGCGTGGGTTTGAGAAACGATCGAAAACATCTTGAAAGGAGCGGGGTTCAGTCCGTGTTTGCGGGGACGTCACAATCCCTTCATCTTGCAAAAGAATTTTCCCAGTGGGGAAATTCAAACACGAAAATTGCGGGTGCATAACGCCTTCGGGTTGCGCAGCGAATTTGAGACATTGCGGCAGTCTTAGGAATACGATATGCGAACACAGCACACTTGTGATTCAGCCCTGGCGGTAGCGCGTCGCTGAGAGGACCCAATCTGTAATTGTCGCTGAATCATCACCCACCACGAAGCAGTTTGATTGCGTATTTCTATCGCGCACAACACACTTGAAACCTTCAGAATTACTGCAGAAACTCGTGGATGACGCGTGGACAAAACGCACACTGGTCACAGCTGCTCGTCGGATGGTTTGGCACGCAGCGTTCAGTCATGAGTACGGAAGGTTCACTACCATGCGAGCACAACACACACTTCGCCTGCACTGTCCACTCTCGGCACAACCAAACAGAGTATACACACATTTCATTACACTTTCATTCCGCACATGCACAAAATTTTAGGACCTTGAACATTTCAAACCAGACGAAAAGCGGGCAGGCGGAAGAACATAGGTCATACAGGCAGCAATACTGAATTACCCTGGCGTACCATCTCCTGCCTGGCCTCTGCTGCACCTGTGGGGGAAAGAAAGGGACCTTCAACGTGAATTGCGTGTTCGGATGGGCTGAAAAAGTAGCGTATATTCTGTCCTATACAAATGTGACATTGGGCGTTGTACATCAATACCGATCACGACGTCCCCTGCCTCCTAACGAGGCGCGACACTTCCGTGCGTGGAGACGCCATGAAATCATTTCAATTTGAACTTTCTAAACTTTCTCGTTTCTTAAACAGTCCCTTTTTCACCTTCCTTTCCGACAAGTGGCGAGATCTCGGTAACCTCACATTCACTGACTATATGTTCTTCCCCCATCATGAGGTGTTAATCGATCCCAAGTGGTACCACTCACTCAGTGATCAACATCAGATGCCGGAAACAACTCAAAACCACAATAGCCGAGCGAACTACCTGCCTCATTTCAAAACACAATCAACAAAATAAATAAAACAAGTGTACAAGCCAAAGTAAAACAAAATGAAAAAACTTAAACTTCGACACAAGGTCTTCACTAAAGTAACATGCACAATGACCGAGTAGAAATTATAGGACGTAAAACGGCATACAACATTGTGGACTCTTATGACCCTAGCTGATCCCCGAGCGCTCAGTGTCTACCTCTATGCAGACTTCTTCCCTGACTCTGAGTCCCAGACCCTCATTGGAGGGTCCGAACTTCCACCTACTCAACTCAGTCGCGGACTGGGGCATGTGCGAAGCTATCAGACAAGACGACCGCTGCGCATGTCCGGGTTTGGTGCGGTGTACATCGAGTGTGCTGCAGTTCCCCTTTGGCCCCACAAAAACCACCCCGTTGCGATCTAGGCATTCCTCAATCTCACTTACTCTCTCTAACGTTCGGTCTACCGCCATGTCGACCAAGAATCCGACAACTGCATCCTCAGAAAACCCATTCTCATCCAACTTCATATCTGCCACTCCTACTGGTAATGCCTCATCGTCTCGTGGGACCTTCGAGGTAGAATCCGCAGCAAAATGGTTTGTGTCCGCTCTAGCAACCTCGACAACTTTTGTTTCACCCAGTGGCACCGGCGTGCCAGCGTTCCCCACAAACACACACTGACCCGATGGCGGAACATCCTCCTCGATCACGGAAGTTACACTAACCAAATCCACACACGGTGAACGGCGACTCGTTTTTACGGAGCTCCTTTCCTCGCGAATATTTACGGTCGCGATTGACCTCTGTGCGTCGCCGTCATGAGGAGGAGTTGCGTCTAGGTTTTCAGATTCAATTTTTGTCACCATCCCCTTGTCTTTGTGAATGCGGCTGTCACCCATCGGATTCCAATTTCGTTGCCGGTACCAGTGGCATTCTCGCCGAATGTGACCAAACCTGCCACAGTTATAGCACCCGCCGGCATATGGGAGTTGCTTCGGGAATTCCTGCCGATTTTGTTCCACCTTATTGCGTACTGCCAAGCTCTCCACAAGTTTTTCGAGGCGATCAAGGCGGCTATGCATCTCATGAACATCCGTGTCCTGTTCTACGTATCGAATGGCTAATGAATGGCTGCTCGACACTTTCTCATTCTGTTCCTCCTTGACCGCTATGGCAATGGCCTCGTCAAACGTTTTTGGGTCTCGAGAGAGAACAGATCTGT